TAAATTCTAAATATTTGATCAATATATCCAAAGAAGATTTATAATAAACTATACAAAATATTTCTGAAAGCAAGTAGTTTATGAAACAATATTAAGTAATGATAAAAAACCTCAGTTCTTATAGAGAAAAATAAAATTCCAGTATCTAACATGAATTATATATTTACCAAAGCTAAAATGCACAGCGACGAAGGGAAGACATTGCCTTCAAGAGTCCCTAATTTAAAATCATAGTGGTCTTTGGCCGTGTGTGTGTGTGTGTGTGTGTGTAGATAAGTTAGCTGACAGAAGGAACAGTGGGAATGAAAAACATACAGGAGGCCCCCTCATCTGCCCTGAAGAGATTGGAAGGCTCCAAACACACTGAGACGCACTGTGAAGAACGTGTGTGTTAGGTGCATAGTCAGAAGTGATGGGAAAAGCTCCGTGTGACATTTTTCATGGAAGCCAATCATAATCTTCCACAATTACATTACTTATGTTGTTTATATTAAGTGGCTTTACTGAAGTAATATACAACAAACCAGATTCAGCATAAAAGCGCTGCATTTGGGTACAGAAAGCAATAGCATCTATTACTTGCCCCTAGAGTTTCAAATAATTTTTCCTTCTTGAAAGGTGTTTGGATAATGGTGACTTTTTAAATCTGGAAATAAGCCTTCTATATGGAAAATATTTAAATGCCTTTCTAACTCTGAAGTGTGTTGGCTTTTCTTACATCATTATTGAATGACAGCGACTGTGTTTGTGCTTGAAATTCTTACTTTAGGAATTGGCTTTTGTAATCTATCTTTGTCACCAGTATAACCTTTTGCTTTTAGATATATTATGCACAGTTTGTTCTGAGTGAACATTCTTGCAATCTAAAACATGAACATTCTCAGATCGTCACCGCATTACTATATCATTACATCATGATTTCCAGAAATACATTTTGAGAAATATCTCCTTACAGGCTCAGAAAGGTTTTAATGGTGTGATTACCTGATTAGTTGAAGAGGAAATTATTTGTAACATTGTATATAATTCCATTCAATTGTAGTGGAGAGAAAGCTATTTTAAAAACCTGAAAACAAACACAATCACTGAATATTACAATTGTTTTTAATATCTGTTTCTTTCATTAGACCATGTATTTCTAAAATTGTATGGCTAGAGATCTCTGCTATTGGGACATATTAAGAGGGGCATGGTCTATGTTGGTTCACTGTCAGGCAAGTCTTTTGTTGAACATCTATCTATTGAGTTCTTACTGTAAGGTAAGAACTAAGCTGAGGGGCTGGAGAGATGACTCAGAGATTAAGAGCACTGGCTGCTCTTGCAGAGAACCCAGGTTCAATTTCCAGCACCCACATGGCAGAGAACAACTTTCCATAATTCTAGTTCCAGTCGATCTGACACCCTATTCTCACCTCCATGGTCATTGCATGACACAGGTGCATTTACACACATGCAGGGAATATACTCATACACATAAAATGAAGATAGTAAACTATTTTTTAATAAATAATTACATTGAATGAGTCTTAAAAGTAAGAATCAAAGAAAATTTGATGATAAATTTCAAATTTTTTAAAAGAAGAAATTGACCACTAATGGTCAAATGGCTTTCTGTGGACCCACCCACTTCAGTGAATATAGTTCAAATGCTGTTTTTGAACTGTCAACTCTATAACCTATTTTTTTTTCTTGAAGAGCAGTTCCTGAAATAAACTTTCTCTTCAAACCATATTTTCTTCTAAGGGCAAGATTTCTGATACTACATGATAGAATAAACACTTTTTCAGTGTGCTAGCTATAGCCATGAGGGGCTGTGAGGGTTAAAATTATGATAGTTTCATATCAGTTTGGTCATGCCTAGTCGTTATTCATTAGGTAAACTTTTCTCTGGCTGAAAGGTTATTCAAGTCTTCAAGTTAGTTTGCTCACACCACTGTAACAAAGTACCACAACCTGGATGTTTTATAAACATCAGAAATTACTCCTCATAGTTCAGGCATCTGAGAGTTAAGGCTGAGGAACTTGAAAATGCAGTATCCAGTGAAATCTGCTTCTTGGTTCATAGATGACACCTTCTAGTTTGGTCCTTACATGGCAAGAGTGAGGTGAGCTCTCTATATTGGGTTTTTATTTTTTTTTATTTTATTTGTGTGTGTGTGTGTGTGTGTGTGTGTGTGTGTGTCTTTGTGAGTGTATGTGCATGTGTGCGTGGGTGTCTGCAAAATATAGAAGAGGTCATTGGATCCTTTGGAGCTGGAGTTACAGGCATCAGTAAGCCTCCTGACATAGGTGCTAGGATTCAAACTCTGGTCCTCATAATTGAACAGCAAGTGATCTTAACTGTTGAGCCATCTTTCCAACCCCCATGGTGTCTCTTTTATAAGGCCATTAATCCCATTCATGAAGCTTCCAGCATTGTGCCCTCTTCAAAGCCCTGCCTCCTAATCACATCATATTGGTGGTCCATTCTCAACAGATAAGGTTGGGGAGGATGCAAGTATTTGGGTCATAGCAGTCTCATACTGAGCTTAGGGGAACAGTCCAAGAAAGGGTAAGTTGAAATAGAGGATCATGTATCCTGGTGTCTGGCCTTTATTATCTTCAGTTGGGGCTGCATGCCCTCCCAGTGCCCTTCAAGTATGTTTCCAAGTTATTTGAACAGAAGAACCATAATGCTAACACTACAGATAGCAGAGGGTCACTCTAACTACTATATACAGGGAATATTATTGGTTCATGACCATTGGTTCATGTAACACACACACATACACATACACATACACACACAAACATACACATACACACACAAACATACACATACACACATACACACATACACACACATACACACATACACACACATACACATACACATACACACACATACACATACACACATACACACACATACACATACACACACATACACATACACAAACATACACACATACACACACATACACACATACACATACACACACATACACACACATACACATACACGTGTAAGTACAGGTGTAACAGTCTTCTCCAGGCTCTGTGCACTTTGGGCTTGGTGGTACAGTCTTCTTTTCTTTCTGCTCCCTTATCCACAGTCACCCTGTTTCCTGTTAGGCTTCTTGAGGCTCTCAGTGACAAAGCTCTGCCATGGCGCGGGGGAGGGGGGTGCTGGTCAATCCCATTTTTCCCTTGGCACAGTCATGTCTACTTTCCTTTACCAAGATCAGTCAAAGAAGACAAAGCCCAGGACAAAACATTCTGTGCAGAAGTTCAAGTGAACATCTGTGTTCTTCTTTACTAAACCTCAGTGTATTTCAGGCCCTTTTCTATCTCTGCTGCCAATCAGGATGATCTAAGAACCATAGACATAAGTTGGAAAACTTCACAGTTATGAAGAAAATGTGGTTTTAAATGTTATGTTTCCACCTTTAGATACCAAAGGGAAATTTCTTAACATTATTTTATATGATTGCCCTTTAACAGTTTGTGTTGAATAGCCTAAGAATAGTACATCATTACTTTGTTATTTCAAGTTTTAAATGTTAGAAATTGTTTAATTCAACATTGAGGTAGCCATTCCATATTGTGTTTGTTCTTAAAACGAACTCTGAGAAGTGTGTGCTGAAGTATGATTTCGACTCTAAATAAAGTAGTTGATAGAAAATGAAATCGCCCATCTAATACTTTCTTAAATTCAAACATACACAATGGAGTTTTATTCAGCCATAAAAAGCAAAATTATGTCATATACTGGAAAATGAATGGAAATGCGGATCATCATATTAAGCAAATAAAAGCCCCCAGAAAATAAACATCATATTTTCTCTTATATGTGGAACCTAGGTTTTAGATTGTATACATACACCATGTAATGTACACACACAGACACACACACTCTAACACACACACACACACAAAAATGACATGTAAATAGAAGGGTGATTATTTGGAAAGAGGAGACTGAGTCATGGAGGGGGACAGAAGAGGGTCATGGGAGGAGATACAGTCAGAATACATCATATGGTAAACAAAAATGTCATCATGAAAGCCATCACTTTGTGCAATGAATATATACACTAATAAAAAGGTTGTATAATGCAATCTTAGCTCAAGGCATTGTGTTTTCAGAGGCATTTACTGTTTTTCTTTCTTGTTGCACATCAACAAAAAGGCCCTTCATCAGCTTTGGAGGATTTTCTTTATTTAGTGCAGGAATTTTTTGCTCCTTGGATGAAATACTCCACATGTCACGTGTTGTGTGACCTGAGCATTCCAGGAAGCCTCACTGCCTGCAGTCTCATCAAAATCTTGTAGTATATTTTTAAAGTTGTTTTCTCTTCCCTCTTCTGTACAAAATATTTTGCAAAAAACCTTGACTTTGGCTCCAGAGTGAAGTAGACAAGATTTAAATTTGGGTCCTCATCCTTTGGTCTCTGTGGCTCTGAATGAGTAGTCTACAGACTGAGACTAGGCTTCCAGTACCTGATTCTTAGAGTTCTTACCACAATTAAAGGACCCAGTGTCCATCAAGCCTTAGGACTGTGTTCACAACTGCAGCTGCTCAGTGCTACTGGCACTTATTTTCATTTTGTGTTGTGGAAAAAGTCATATTTTTAGGAACAGCAAGTCACTCTTTATTGCTAAACATTGTTTAGGAAAATCCTGATGCTTAACTCTTTCATGTATCTGGTAGGACTTAAAAAACCAAATAATGAAAGCTGACTTAGTAATATTTCAAAGCAAGTTACATTGACTGGTGCAGATGGGTGGTCTCACTGTATTGCAGAAAATACACATTACTCTTCCACACTGTCATGAGCTTCAAGTGTATATTCAAATAAATGGCAAATTTCAGAAATTACCTTTAAGAGTGATACCTTGCAGAAGGGTGAAAACTGGTTCCTTTGGTGATTCTTGGGGAATGGGCTGAGCTGTGTTTTCTGTCTTCTTAGTTGCTTTGTTTCAGCTGATCACTAAAACAATGTGTTTTTGCTTTTCAGTCACTCAAGACTGTTTGCAACTGATTGCAGACAGTGACACGCCGACTATACGAAAAGGTAATGAATAGCCCCATTCTGTTTCCCCTGAGGATTCGGTCCACTACAGCTTAGGCTTGGGAGTTTCAAGTCTCAAGTAGCGTTTGAACTTTAGTTCAAGTCAGCCATCCACCTAAAACTTCTTATAACGTGAACTCATTCAAACTGACCAGGGAATAACCATTTAGACTAGTGTAATAACCCGATAGACCCGGTGACTGTGTAGATGATAGTCTTTAGAAGTTTTAGATAATTAGAGCAAATCAAGTCTCACCTTTATTATGTAGGGAAATTTTTGATTTCTGTAATCACGGAAGACCATCTTCCCATGTGCCAGTCTTGTGATATTTGGCTGTGGAACTCATGATAGGATGTAAACAAAGTTGTCCGTATCCTAAAAACTATATTTTTACCCATCTCTAATGTCCAATTCATACTTGATGATTTGTCATTTATTCTTTTTAAACATTTTATTTATTGTTATTTTAAGGGTATGAGTGTTTGCCTGCATATTTGTAAGTGCATCACATGCATGCAATGCCTGAAGAGGCCAGAAGAGGATGTTGGATCCCCTGGAACTGGAGTTACAGGAGATCGTTAGCCACCATGTTGGTTCTGGGAACCAAACTGGCTCCACTGCAAGAACAGCCAGTGCTCTTAACCACTGGTGGAGCCATCTCTCCAGCCCCTATCAGTTACTCTTAAGAGTAGAATGTTTTCAGGGCTGCAGAGATGGCTCAGCAGTTAAGAGCACTGACTGCTCTTGCAGAGGACCTGGGTTTCATTCCCAGCACACACATGGTGGCTAACTGCTGTCCATAACTCCAGTTCCAGGGCATCTGATGCCCTTTTCTGACCTCGTTGGGCATTGCATGACAAGTGTCCACTTACACACATGCAGGCGATATGCTCAATTCACAAAAATAAAAATAATAAAACAAAATGTTTTAAAAGTAGAATGCTCTTAACCTGAATTTCACTTCCTTGAAGTTTTCTTATTAATTTTAGAAAGAAAAATTATTTTCTCTAATAGTGGCCAGAAACAAGATTGGGAGAATACGTGTTTAACTCCATTTCCCAAAGGGTACCACCCACAAAATTAAGCCTGTGAAAGGTCCTTGACATGAGGGTTTTGTTGTTAAACACTTGAGGAATAGCTTGCTGAATATATTTTTAGGGACTCAGGAAGCAGTTTGCCACATTACTGAACCAAGGTTGCCCTACTTTGGAAAAGGCTTTTCTCACCCTTTTAGCTCTGTTTCTCACAGATTCCTGTGACCTGCTCTTCCACCAAAACCCTGAAAGTTAATGTTTAGGGAATGTTGATAACTGCAGTTTCTGACAACACGACTAATGAACAAAAAAGGTGCTAGGAGGGAACAGCCCATACAGCCAGTGGACTTTTATCCCAAGTAATTTTTTAGTAAGTGTACAAAAAATGGGTTTCACAGTGACATTTTCATCTATAAATACATGTGTGTATTTGTATGTATATATGATGACACTTTGTTCCTATTTCCCCCTCCCATTCTCGCCTTGCTGATCTTTCTCCCTTACAAATGCTCTCATTTCACCTTTCATGTCACGCACATCCTATTGTTCTCTCTTGTACCCTTTCCCCTTTCTTTAGATGTCTTCCTCATAGTCCCCTTTGTACCTTACACACACATACACACACACACACACACACACACACACACACCCCAGGGTCATGCCATACTTGTCTTTCTGAGCTCCTATTCTGACTTAGGATATGACCTCCAGGTCCATCTGTTTCCTTGTGTGTGTCATGACTCCCTTCTTACAGCTGAGTAAAATTTCATTGTCTACATATACTACAGGATGCATTCGCCTCTTGAGTCATTTATTCATTTTATGTATGCTGATTAAGGACATGCAATGGTTGGATGACTGTGAGGATGCTAGGGTGTCTGCATTGAAGAAAATATATGTGGGTTTTTACTTTGATGGAGTTTACCCTCTAATGGGGAGAAAATAAGGAAAAATTAACAAGTAAAGCTTAGAACAGTAAAAGGAACACTAGGGGTAGAGGGTAGAGCTAGCAGGGAAGGACTATGTCCTAGTTTGTTCTTCATTGCTGTGACAAAATACTCTGACCACTACCAACTTGGGGAGGAAAGGGTTTATTTAGCTTACATATCCCGGGTCACAGTTCATCTGGGAACCCAAGGTAGGAACTCAGGGAAGGAACCTGGAGGCAGGAGCTGGAGCACAGACCACGGAGAATCACTGCTTACTGGCTTGCTCCCCTGGCCCCTGCTCAGCCTGCTTTCTTATGCAACACAGGCCCACCTGCCCAGGGGTGGCACCACCCACAGTGGGCTGGGCCCTCCCACATCACTCATCAAGAAGATGCCTCTCAGACATGGCCACAGGTCAGTCCAATAGAGGAAATTCCCCAATTGAGGCTCTGTCAACCCAAATGTGTCAAGTTGACACTGAAGCTATCCAGCACAATTGACCCCTTGTCAACTTGACACATGAACATCACTATTAAACCGTAAACTTTCCAATTTTTGTCCCCAAGATATGTTAATGTCACAACATAAGACAGTACAGCCTTAAAAACCACACAGTCCTTAAAAAATCCAAACACTTAAAAGTCTCTTAACTGTGGGTGGGCCTCTGTAAAATCCAAAACAAGTACTGTCTTATTTCAAAGGGAAGAATTGGGCACACCTAAGCAAAACCAAAGTCCAGCAAAGTAGCTCAAGGCTGGACATCTGGGATTCACTCACGATCTTCTGGGCTCCAAAGGGTACTGGCAGCTCCACTGCTCTGCCTCTGCTGTCCACAGCACACTCAGCTCGTCTAGCAGACCCAGGCCAGCTCTATTCCACACCTACTGCTGTCCTTGGTGGTCGTCCCATGGTCCTGGCATCTCCCAAAATCTCCACTGAAACTGAGGCTACACCTTCACCAATGGCCTCTTCTTGCCTCCGGGGAGCAAAGCCTCAGATTCTCTCCATGACCCCTTCAATCCTGGGGTCTTCGCTGCAACTGAAGCTGCACTTTCACCAATGGCCTTTCCTGGCCTCTCAGAGTGCCAAGCCTCAGCTGCTCTCTGTGACCCCTTCATACTTTCAACACCAGAACCATGCAGGAGACTCTTACATATTACCAAGTCCTGTTTCTGGCTAGCTATGGAGGTTTGGATCTCCTCTGTGTGCTGACCCTGAGGAAATACCTCCCAGAAGACTTCACCACGGTGATGCTGGTCTCTTGTTACAGTTGATTTTTCAGCCCCAGCTATCCAGCATCAATTGTCCCAGCAAAGCAAAGGTTTTACTTCAGGTTCTGGTCTCTTCTTAATCACAGCTGATTCTTCAGCCCCAGCCCACCAGAACCCACAGATTCTCAATCCAAAATCTCACACGAACAGCCCTGATAATCTCTGCTTCCCTTTGAAGCTTCACAAGCCAGGCCTCCATTGTCTACAACTCTTTCAGCATAACTTTTCCAAACTCCACAGCAACAAACTCTGAGCAGGCAATAGCTTTTCCAGTCCAAAGTTCCAAACACTTCCACAGTCCTCCCCAAAACACCAAGGTCAGGTGTGTCACAGCAATTGTCTGGTACCAATTTCTGTCGCCAAGGTCAGGTCTGTCACAGCAATATCCCACTCTTTGGTACCAATTTCTGTTCTGGTTTGTTTCTTGAAGAAGACCGGGGTTTTCTGACCACTACCAACTTGGGGAGGAAAGGGTTCATTTAGCTTACATATCCCGGGTCACAGTTCATCTGGGAACCCAAGGTGGGAACTCAGGGCAGGAACCTGGAGGCAGGAGCTGGAGCACAGGCCATGGAGGAATGCTGCTTACTGGCTTCCTCCCCTGGCCCCTGCTTAGCCTGCTTTCTTATGCAACACAGGCCCACCTGCCCAGGGGTGGCACTACCCGCAGTGGGCTGGGCCCTCCCACATCACTCAACAATCAAGAAGGTGCCCCATAGACATGGCCACAGGCCAGTCCAATAGAGGAAATTCCCCAAATGAGGCTCTGTCAACCCAGGTGTGTCAAGTTGACACTAAAGCTATCCAGAACAGAGCATCTCTGAGTAGTTGACCAGAAGTGTAATTTGAGATTATGAGGGGATTATATTTTAAGACCATGAATGGGGCAAATGAATTAGGGTAGATAAACCAATGCTGATTGACCTTTCTAATGATCCCTCAGAGTGCTATTTTGTATTTATACTTTTATATGCAACTTTAACAATGTTAAATGACAAACAAGTATCAAACCATTTGAAAAACTATGATTGTTTACTGTTCTTCATTTCCAAAAAACACGCTTGCAATTTTTAGAAGACAGTAACTGATTTCCTAAGAATTAAAATAAAGCCAGAAGAATACCCCAAGGACCAATGATAACATTGAAAATGTTGCTTGGAAAAGATTTGCTTTACACATTTATCGAAGGGAAAAAAGTTGGTTGCTATTCTGTCTCTCTGTCCATGACATCAATAACTCTTATAATAAACTCCTTAATCCCCTTCTAAAAAGACAAAGAAAAAATTGAAACCCATGCACGAAGGCTGTAGCTCGTATATGCTAGTGTAAGTGTGAAGCACAATGTGCTGGAATGCTGGTCTGGGACGCTGCCTTAGGTGTATGGGCCTGGGCTGCTGCCCGGCACTGCTGGGACCTTTCTACTTGCATGGGTTGGTTTTGGCATGTCACCTGAGCACTCAAATAAGAGTGTGAGAATGGCATTTAGCTGTTTGTGTGCATTGACATTTTAAAAGGAGACAGCTTTACATATGAGGAAAAACTGCACACAATGAAGCACTGTTCCTCACACAGGGCAGGTCTTTCCTGAGCAGATAATATATTATTACCTCCTGTTGTATGTTATCCTGGGTCTTAGATGGCCTTGTTACCTGCTCCAGCAACCCAAAGAGGGGGAGACTGTTTTCATACGATATTCTTACCGTCTATTATTCCTGTGTTCTGCTGAGCCCAAACATAACTCTTACCTGAAAGAGACTTACAGTTTATT